GCTATTCCGCGAATCACTCCGTTCCCGTCCGCGTCATTCCGCGCTGTTCTGGGAGATCCCCCGTTAGCTGTCACGAGAAGCGTCGCTAAAAATGACGCTGAAACGCACACCAATCTCGCAAACACGCCGAGTTCCGCGTCACGAAGGAAACCTTCGCTAGCGAAGGAGGGGAAGTAGGTGGGAGCTTTTAAACCCTCGCACTCTCTAAACTCGGATGACACGAGCCGCGCGACCGGCGAATCTCCGCAACAAACAAGAAGGAGAGAGAAAGAGAGAGAAGCAAAGAAAAAACTTTGACTCGCACTGTCTTCACATTTTCTCTTTCCTCACTTTGGCTGTTCCGGTTTGGTCCGATGCTCGGCGGCGCGGATAGATCGCACAGAGGAAAATCGATTCCTATTGTTTCTGCTTCGCGTGTCACTCTCTCTCTCTTTCTTTCCGTCCGCGCACTCTCTCAACGCACTGCCAATATACAGATAACACACGGTACGACTGGAATCGTCGATTCGTTCTGTACGCGTTCTCTCCGTGAGTCTCGCGTTACGCACGTAATACGATTTAACTCGCGCTCGGCTGCCTCTTCTCCGTCGCGTCGCGTTGCGTCGCGCTCGCGCCTGTCCGCCCAAGATCACACCGGACGAGGTCGTGCACGGTCACACGTCTCTCGCTCGACACGTCCGAACGTCGCGGGCGCCGATGGCGGAGTGAACCGGTGGCGCCGCGAGCATCCGACACTGGCGCCCTCGCCAACTAGACGGCCGCCCACCGACCCGACGGACGGACGGACGGGATCTGCGGGGCGAGCGCGCACAACACATCGACGCGGCGCGCGCGCGCCGGAACGCGATGCTCTTCGGAGACCGGAATACCACGAAACCGGAATACACACATACGCGCGCGCGCCGAAAAGCCGCGCGGATACGACAGCTACACTCCGTCGAATCTATAATGGATATTCGCACCGACGGACCACCTGGCCCACCGCCGTCCCTCTCCCGTTTCTACACCATCTAACGGGTGTCCACCGATACACACCGATGGACGCGATCGAGACAACGCCGTAGCGGCTGTGTTGCACTTCCCCCGACCTCGTCCTCATTCTCGTCGTCGTCCTCCTCCTCGTCGTCGTCGTCGTCGTCGTTACAACGTGCGCGATTGAAGGGATATATAGGCTGGCGGGACGCAAAGAGGGAGCACACCATCGGGATGTCGTTGTCACGACGTTTGGTAAAAGTTCGCCTGTCGGGGTAATATTCTGATCGGTTTCGACGTAACTCGTCGCGACGCGAGACGCGTCCCACGCTCGCGATCGCGGAAATTGAGTACAACCGAAAAAAAGATTGGCTTGCCGAGGCGCGCATTGAGTTATTTACATTTCGCATTGTGAAACGCGCGGCATCGACGGGCGAGCGCGCGCATCCAATAAAACGGATCTGTATTAAAACTGGGAGTTCTATTCTTCTTTATTCAAATGTTTGAATACCGGTGAGAATGAATTTACGATTCTGATTAATTGTGTATATTTTCTGACGTATTCCGCACGCAACAAGATACAATGGCGAATGCGCGATTATGATATTCAATCGTGTTTCTAATTCCGATTCTTTCCTCGGCGATATCACGAAACATCTGCGACCAAGTTTGTACATACGTTGTGTGTTCGCATACATGAGTGATTATCGAATCGAACGTGAAACTGTCCACGGCGATGCAAGAATATTATTTTTAACCATGCGAATGTACGTGAGCGTGTATGTATGAGCTATCGATGTGTTTACGTATAAAATAATGATAATTTATGCTAGAGATGTGCGAAAAACTATTTGAAAATTTCTTCCTTTATTATCTCTATATTAAAACTCAGTCTAACAATAATTATGTCATTGATTAAAAGTTACGTTTCAACAACTCGATTCGGTTTTGTATCCGATTCGATTCAATGTGGGTGAAATTTTTTTCTGATTTGATTCGGATACAAACAAAGAAATAAAATTCGATTCGATTCGATGTCAAAAATCCTTAATTCGCACATCTCTAAGTTATGCGTACCTACGACGACCGCGTATCGAGTCTCATTTTTGTCGCGACAAGATGGCCGAGATGAGCGAGCATCCCCGGACGCTTCGGAAATGGATCATCGATATCGCGACACAGGTGCACATATGTGATGCCGATATGCTTTAGCACGTTACAACATGCGTCCGATACCTCGCGAGAAATACGTGCGCACGAAATTAATACATTTTTTTCTACGTTAACACTCGCGAACGATACGGAGGTAATGAAAAACTCGGGCGAATCCTCGCGACGCATTCCGTGAACTGATCGCGATTCAAAATCGAAACGCGACGCTACGATTGTCGTACTTCGTAACGGTCGGAACGGCGAACCAATCACATCGCAGCGTTCAAATGCGCCCGTTTTAATTGCACTGTATGCAACTAACTGTAAGCGTGGAGTACCTTTCGGCTTTCTTGGAAGGCAAGAGGAAAAGAAAACAAATAACGAAATCGGCCCAGTGATGCTATTACTTTTCAAAATAAACTTGAGGTATTTCGACAAATATCGGAAATGAATATCGAAACACGGCGAATCGCGACAAAGAATGATCAACGGCAGTTGTAATTACAGAAAGATAATATTATAATGAATATAAAATATCGAAATGCGCGATAAAAATAGTAAAAGTTGAAACGTTATTATTTGTTAATAAATATTTGAGATACTTGAAAACGCGAAATTAAAATGTAAAAATGTATACATTAAAAATCCCAATTCCCAATATATTCAAAGACTGTATCTCACTTTTGTTTTTCACACAAATATTTTCTTGTTATTTTCGCACTTGCTCGCCGTTTATTTTTTCGCAATATTTAGAATAGAAAAAGCAACTTTTTAAACTGATCTCTATAAAATCAGCAATCTTTGATATTATGATCTCTCTCTCTCTCTCTCTCTCTCTC